CTTAAAATTACCAGCCTCAGCACCGGATATAGTAGTATGCATGAGATGGTAAATTTTCAGCATAGACGTCACATAGATGCAGGAACTAAAGCAGGGAAAGTAGCACCAAGATGCCACCTCTGTTTCTACCAGACGAGACAGTGAAACAAATAGAGGCCCGGCTGAACGGCCTTCCTGAGGATGAGTTTGTGAGAAACTTTTCGAACTGTTCATTCATATCAAATTATAGCTTTCTCTTTACAAGCTGACGTATGATCATTTGTATCCAGCAAGCTTGTGCAGCTCAACATACTGCAGCGAATGATACTCGCGGTAAAGGCCATTGGGGAGGTTGTGACGAGACGGGTCTAATGGCAATGGTGTGCCGTCACGACCACTCTCTCCGCTTTGCTAACATTGTGCAAAGTGGTGAAAGGTAAGTTTTTTGCCTGGCTTCCTTTTTCAATATAGAGTAATAACTGAACATGGGATCGATCAGGCTACACTATAGCTACAGTTTGATTCAATGGATACTGGACTTGACCCGAAACCATGGACTCACTCCTCGCCGAGTTGCCTTTTTGTACGACATTGGATGTACGATGCTTGCTGGAATAGAGAATGTAAGGTTTATTGTGGCCAAACATTCATAATCGTACTAAAAGCACGGTTCGACAGCGTGGAATGTTTGCAGATGAACGGGCCCACGGGCGACTCAAATTTGGCACAAGCGTATTCCACGCGTATGTGCATTGGTGGTCTTGCCAGCTGCGCTGGAATCCCCGGCTTAATCTGGGGTTTGGACTTTCTGATGGTGAAGGAAGCGAGAGGGTGTGGTCTGGCCTGGATTCCCTCATACCTCCACTCAGGTACGCCACCGCACAACACCGGGTGAACGCGATCCACATGCGTTCAGCTCATGTCAATTCACGGCTGCGTCATGAAGCGGGTACGCGAATGTTACTCAATATTTGTATCCATACACATCATCCCACTGACCATCCCCTGCTGTTCGATGTATCACAGTTTATCATCTAATAAGGAAGACAACTGAGGCTAAGAAGCGCCTTGAAGAGGCTTCAGAGACCCTTAGGACGCTGTCGACCCCGGGCGAGGGGTGCCCTGGACGCGATTCTGCCTATTTTGAGGCCAAGTGGATGGCTCAACGAACGCGACAGCTAGATGCAATGACTGAGAGACAGCAAGCAAAAAGAGACAAGATAGCTCTGTTACTCGGTCTGGAGGAAGGCCTTCATGTTACTCTGTAAGTGCAGCCTAGCAGCTTACTAACAGTTCGTGTCATAATAGACATAATCTGACCCATGAATTTGGGTGCTTGAAGCGCTCGACTCGCCTTCATGGAAGATACTGATAGAAGAGCAAGAACCCAAGCTGAACGAAATGAGCTGCTGGCCCTTCCTAGGACTGTGGCTGATATTGAAGATTGGATTGATGCTGTGGCGATTCAGCTTGGGGGTGCTGAGTTTCAAAACATTTTGGGTGCCCAAAGTATGTCTCCATCGGCCTTTATGAGATGAGATCACTGATGCTAACATGTCTGATTTATCTCCAGAGAATCAAAAAACCGCACTTGTAGCGCTGTCTGTTGCGCGGGGGTGCTTGTATGAAGCGAAAGTCGGAGTAATCGAATCAAGGCTACGGCGTCATCGCAGCTCAGGTGACCAACGATTGTACGTATTTATCCAGACCCGACCTGACGCATATGCCATCTCTGCCACCAGGAACGAGAGTACAGCAGCAGCACGCACGCCAGTGTAGAGATAAATTGAGAGATCTACGGACCAAATACAACACTTACGAGCAATGTGTTCTCAAGTATCACACAGATTACCCAACAAGTGAACGTGTGGAACTGCCAGACTTTGAAACAATCGAAGCAATGGAGACGGATGATCCCTTCTGGGACCGCGGCAAAAACGAGGTACAAGAGGGTGACGAGGCGGAAAAAGGCCGCATTCGCCAAGGTATTCAAGCCTTCTTGGCCCATAGGTCAGCTAAAGAAGAGCTGCGTCGTCTCGCGCGGGAAGCTTGCCAAATGATGAGTTGGGCCATTGAGTATCATGGTCGAATTATGACACTCAAGAACAGTCTTGATCAAGGTAATCGTGTTGTTACTGTGACTTATGTATATGATTGCACGTCAGGTTGATTGTTTTAATTGCGACTTGTATCCAG